ATCAGAATAACCATTCAATAACTAATGTTTATAGGAGAAAAGAAAAAATTGACAAAGCTTGTAAAAAAAAGAAAATTTAAATCAATTAAACTATGGATTGGCGTGAGTAATTTTTTACTAGTTACAAGTTTTATTACACCTGAATGTGAAGTAATATACTTTGTTTTATTTCATACTTGACAGTCCATTGTTAACCATTTCTACTGGGTTGGGAACTCAAGTACAACTGCTGATGAACGAGAGGAAAAATGGCGCAGTCTACTCAACCATATTGTAAACATTCACAAACATGAAGGGCATAAGGTGTTTACTGAATGTCTTCATAGCCCAATAGAAAGAAAATGGCTGAAACAAGGTTTACTAATATTCATTTTAATTAATTATGAAATCAATCTAGACCTTAATACACCATTTAATATTTTACATTTATTCGTAATATTTTACATTTATTCATCTTATTAAGGATCTGCTGCTTACAAGAAGTTAACTGAGATGCTAACAAGACCTCGGCTGATTACAGCAATTCAAAAGTTATCCCAGTATCACCAGACATCTGGATTGGAGGCCAAGCATGCAGTGGACAATGTTCTTGCTTCTAAGAACACCTATCATTCATACCATTCCCTGAGTGCAAGGTAAATGACAATATAGTATAATTTGCAATACTGCAGTAAATAAAAGTGATATATTCGCATCTTTTGAAAGATTGTACTGTGCAAATCTGCATTACAATGAGAACAGCAGTAGAAAACAAGCTACAACAGCAGATGGCAATCTTCGATGGGCAATTGCTTATCCAAAAGCATTCAAAGGAGAAAAAGCAGTTGCCAAACCATTGAAGGAAAAGCCAACATATGGTAAGAAATAGTTTACTAAAACTGTAAACGTTTTAAAAAGTAGACAGTTTCATTCTGTAACTAATCTCTCTTTCAAAAAACTAAGATAAATTACAGTAGAGCTAACAAAAATAACATTTCCTAATCCATTTTTAGCATATGTGGATCTAATTTTAAAGGAAGCTGTTCAACTTAGAAGTGAATACAATACACTAAAGAATGCTAAGGTCCATGCCATCAAATTTCTACCTGTTGAACCGAAATCACTTGTTGAGCTGCTTGAGCAGTATCTTGAAGGGAAAGAACGTCCATCCAAGGAGCTAGTGGTGGCCAATCGCAAATCTCGCTTCAGCAAGCCAGCTTTACCTGCAAGTACAGAGAGTGAGTCAGCAAAGGTATCATGCGCTTGTAAGGGAAAATGTGTGCAACCAGAAAATGTGATTGCAGGGGTACAGATCAAATGTGTCACACCGAATGTACTTGTAAAGTGAAAAAGTGTAAAAATCGCGAGTATAAGAAACATGATATTTATGTGGTGTAAATAATCGACCGAATTCATGTAAACGTGATAATAAAACTGACTTTAAATTAAATTTTCAATCGTGCTTCATTGAATGTGCACACTCTAGTTTACTTGGCCAGATTGCCGGAAAAACTTACCGTTTCGACTTTTTTGCGTATTTAAAATGAGTGTAGACGCCATCATGAGACGAAAATCGATCTCGAATGGTCGTGTAAACACACGCTGGAAGCGGTCTTCTGTTCTTTTTCCCCAAAATTTGAAATACCCAGCGCGAACATCGTTGGTATGCAACAAGTCTATACAGTTTGTGCATTCTGCCCAAATCGTCATCCAGAGGCCAGTTGTCCTCAAGATAGCGGCAAACGTCTACTTTCAAGACACCTTCCGACAGCATGTTTGCTTTGAAGTCGCTATGCGTTGTCGAGCATTTTTCCCCTTGCGCTTCAGCCTCTGTTAAGAGCGCATCATACTCCTCGTACTCCAATGCTTTTTCATGGCAACAAAACGATTCTATGGCGTTTGATTTTAACGTGCAATGCCCACATTTACACCAACTGAGACTGTGAAGACGCCAGGCATTTTCAACCTCAAACGCATGGTCGACTTCCTCGTCTGATTATTGACTCTCATCTGAGTCGCTATCCTCGCTGCTATTGTTTGCATTCAAGCCCGGTTCGGGTTCAAATTGATAGGGTAATACCTCTTCTACTTGGTTATCGTGGATACTTTCCATTTTTGAAATCGAAAAGTGCTAAATACTTCACTAGAAGTTCGAAATGGCTATATGCGCGTATAAAATATATATGTTGTTTTGATCTACCCTGCACCTGACGTCACAAGTGTCAAGTTACCAAAAGATAATTTTTTTGAAAATCGGTCCAAGATGGCGGATGGACTGAATGTTTACCATAAAATAACTCGAGAACTAAACAGTTTTGGTAAAAAATAATACCATATTCGTAATCAGGAGGTCAAATTTACCTGATTGCAAGCATAAAAAAATTTATTTTTAATACCCTTTAACCTCGCTTCCTCGGCATTTACCGAGAATTATCGGACCTCGATATTTTTGTACAAACTTCGCTCTTCAAGCTCGGTCTGTTCAAAAAGACCTTGGTCCGATATTTCTCGGTAAAGACCTCGCGCTCGGTTGATAAGAAGTTATGAATCTTATTATAAAATGTCGCTAATTGATGGAAAAATGTCGGTATTCATTTAGTTTTGTCTCCTTAAATGGCCACGATACGAGGCTGAAACAGATGATGTTGGTTATAAATAGGGGAGTAAAGTTCTGTGATGTTTCTGTGATGTATGCAGTTATAGAAACACGCGTGGGAGTTTGGGAGAATGAGAAATAATGAGATGAGTGGGTTTTCCACGTTATATAATTTATCTGCGAAATATCCACAAACTTACAACCTTAAAATCAAAACTGTTTCATGATTCCAAGATGCAACGGCAACTGATTTAAGAAAACTTATATTATATCAAATCTTAGAATTAAGAATGATCAAAATTTGCTAAATTTTAATGTTTTTATTCTATGACGAACTTAATGTATAGTTAGTTTTTATATAACCACAGTTAAACTAGTTATTAAAATGTTTGCTATAGATTATAGATACATTCTTAATAATGATACCTACTTTTTATTTTTTGGCGAAAATCATGTGTATTTCAGCTTTAGGGCTGCGAAGTGATTTGCTTTAGTAAACAGTAATAATAATATTTATTCTATCAAACAAAATTGGGGGTTTGTATACGATCTGAAATATAAATATGGTCTCCCGCTTCGTGGTCGTGCGATTTTTGTAATGACGCATGAGCACTCCACTCAGTGCAATTACCATTATAAATACGCATCCCACGTGACACTCACATGACATTCTAGCCGCTGATTGGGTGGGTTAAAGTTAAAATCAGAATTTGTTCTTTCTAGGTTTTAAATCCACCTTTCATACCATCTGTCCGTTATCCGTCCTGAGAATTTTGACCATGTAGTGGAATCATCGCTTTGAAGATTTGAGAAGGTACGTTTGTGTCAGTGTTGGTTACCTTCGAATATGAACAGTATGAGTGTCCATTGTATTCTATTGAGTGGCACAGTACAAAGCTGTGACGTCATGTTAAATGAACTGGTAACCAATATAGAAATAATTCATAACACGATTGCGAGGCTCAGGGACTAAAACCTGACAATAATCAAACACTAAACAGCAAATAAGGCAGATTAGTTGTTCTGAGACTAAGGATCGATCAATACAGTTTTATTTTAATAAACTCGATTCCTTAGCGCCTAATAGCACTGTATAGACTTACGAAAATATAATAATCCAGCTTAACTGGTGGTTACATACTTAGGAGGCACAGCCAACAGTCTGAGAAGAGAAATGTTTTATGGAGTGTTATTTGTAAAAATAAATGATCGAGAGTTTGCTGAAACAGCTTTTATCGCTCGAACTAAATGGAATTTATAAAAGACTAAAGAACGACAGTTTACAATCGGAAATGAAAAAGTCGAGTAGCAATAGTTCTTAAATACACGAGATATTTTCATAAATTATTTGACATCAAAATACATTTAGCTCATACCATGTCTATAAATGAGAACATGCTTTCAAAATTGATAATGTCAAGAAAAATCTCATTTACACACACAAATAAGACAAACGGAATGTTTATGGAAATTCTAAAAAAGTTCATGTGAGTTTGTCATATAGGTGGTAGCAAGTCAGAAACGTTACTCCTGAAACATATGTCTCTTCACAAAATTTTTTTCCCAAGAAATCCCTTCGTTTAACAAGATCCTTGGGACTTCTCGGTGTAGCCTATATAAAAATACAACCATTTTGTTACAGTAATTAACCGTGTCTAATGTCATGGCTTCTGACGAACTGCAAGAAAAAGCAAATTTTACAAGACTAAGTAGACTTTTAGTTAACAAAGGAACTGAGGCTTTGAGAAATACATTTGATACCATCCATCCACCTGTTAGTCTACCCGGAGTAATCGCTGCAAACAAAACATCTCTTCAAAAGTTAAAACCTCGAGTTATTAATAATTCCCAGTGGGATTTACTGTTTCCTCCGTCTGGCAACCCGCCAGATTCCAAAACCTTTGATGTCACATTGCTTACAGTTCTATTCCGGAATATTTGTGGTTTTCCATCAACAGGATGGAGTGTAATGCCTCCAGATACTGATAGATCAACGCAGGCGAATATCACAAGAATTAAGTGTTACAGAAATGAAGTTATTGCACATGTAACATCCACTCGAGTTGACAATTCAACATTTGAGTCTTTATGGAAGAAAATCTCCCAGGCGATAGTAGAATTGGGCGTTTCTCAGAGTGATGCCGACGATTTAGAAAAATGTCCTCTTGGGCCTGAAGAAGAAGTGTATGTGCAAAAGCTTAAAGATTGGAAACTACACGAAGATGAGTGTATTAAATTGCTTAAAGCAATTGAAGCGGGTGTAAATAATATAACACAACTCACTGAAGAGACGCGCGATAGAGTAAATGAGACGCACGGTGCAGTAAATGAAACGCGCGATGCAGTAAATCAAATGCGCGATGCAGTAAATCAAATGCGTACGCTATCAATACCCGGGGACAGCAATTCTCAAAAAAAATCCCGCATGGAAAGTGATGAAGATTTATTGCGAAAACTTGCTAAGCATAATTTTATCGGTAAAATTCGAAGAAAAGTGAATTTTTTCGTTCCTGGTACAAGAGAGTGGTTGTTAGAGAAAGTTAACGAGTGGTTTCAAATGTGCGACAGCGATTCGAGAGTAAAGTTAATAACAGCTGGACCAGGATTTGGTAAAAGCGTTTTTGCCGCCAAAATCTGTAAAGATTTTGAGAAGAATGGAAAACTGGCTGCTTGTCACTTTTGTGATTTCAGTGATTCAAACCTAAGAGATCCTATGGTGATGCTACAGTCTCTCGCAAGTCAGATGTGTGAGAATGTCCCTGGTTTTAAAGAGAGGCTTCTTGATCAGTTAAAGCGACCTTATAAAGTTCAAAATCTAAAAGATGGCCTGCGAATATATTTGCAAAATCCCCTAGATGAATTGCAAATAAAAGAGCCGCGTTTAATCGTGATCGATGGCTTGGATGAAAGTGCTGCAGATAATAAGAATGAAATTACGCATTTGATTGCTGAATATTTTCCTTATCTTCCCGAGTACATCAAAATCTTGGTGACGAGCAGGCCAGAGATTTCCGTTGCTGATCTAAGACTAAGAGACGATCAAAAGACAGACATTTCCAATGTTGATGACAACAATAACTTAGATCTTGGACTTTATTTTGAAAAATGTTTTCCAACTTTAGTCGAAAGGCGAGTGGGTTGGAGTGGTATAAGCGGTTTCTTAAAGGATAATTCATATCTTCTTGACATTTCCGGATATGGAACTAATAGTTTACTTTCCATTTTTGTTGCCAAATGCCAGGGCTCATTTCTCTACGCATATCAATTTCAATCTGGGCTAAGAGCTCGCTATGATCTTGAAAATATAACAAATAATGAAGTTATGGAGTTTCTCCCTGAAGGACTGAATTCTATTTACCAAGGATATTTTAAACGCCTTGAAGACGAGCTTAACGCCATAAAACACGAAAAGTTCGATGTGTTGAATATTTTGGCAATGCTGGCTGCTTCCGAAGGACCTCTTCCCCTCACTTTCGTAGCTCAGGCTTTTGGTTTAGCTCCAGATTGTCGCGAAACGAAAGACATCATCAACAAAATTAATGAAACCGTATCGTGCTTGTTGTACGTTTCAGATGACATGTTAACCGTTTTTCATAAATCCGTTATTGATTGGCTTCTAGCAAAGGGCTACAAAGATCACCAGTATACTGTAAAGGTCGATGATGGACATAGATCGCTTTGGCTTTTATGCGAAAAGGTTTTTAAAGAAATTAAAGATAAAGGTGTTCGCTCAGGACTTGAGGTGAATTTTACTGATGACGTAAAATACGCTCTAAATCATGGTTTAAAACATGGTTTAAAACATCTTGAAAAGTGTAAAATGGAGGAAGGTGTGTTTTGGTCAGTTGATGCTATTATCGTCGCTTATATGTTAGCTATAAACGATCCTAACGATTTGGTAAATTTCTGGCGCACATTACTGCAATGTTCCTGGATTAAAAACGAAGATTTACGCGCCCGCATTTCGTACCATGTCATTGAATTTGACGATTTGAACGATAACATTGACTACCATTCAATTAAAAAGACAATATTTTCACAATGGTATTTACAAGCGGTTCTTACACATTCTCCAGAAGGTTATTTCAGTGATGATGAGAAGAAAGTCGCGGAGACGCTACTATCAAACCTTTCACGTTTTGTCGAGTCGAATTCTTACGATGTTTCGGTTTTGCCGCGACCATTCTGGAAATGCGATGGATATGATTTTATTACTGCTGTTGCTTTATCTAACGATGAGAAAACTGTAGCAGTTGCAGCGGAAAATGATATCTACGTGTTTTCCCTACCAACTTTAGTTGAAATTATGAGTTATTCAACAAAATGGGAAATCATTTCATGCCTCACATTTTCTCCAGACGATTCGCTCATATTATTTGGTGAACTGGAAACGGCATTTAACATTGCTGGAAGAAAGGAAGTTCCATTTTTCCCTGGAAATGAAGAGGTGTTCCTGTACTGTGCATTTTCCCCTAACGGCAAAAGACTGGTGACTAGTCACGGTTTAGACACCATTAAACTATGGGACGTTGCTAAACAAACGCTGCTGTCGTCGCTTTGTGCTGGATTTCCTGTTGGTTGGTGTTCTTTTAGCGTCACAGGGTTATTTATTATTGCAAATTCAGAATCCTATTATCCGGGTTATTCGTTTTGTGTTTGGAACGCCATCACATTGCAAAGAAGTGATAAGCGAAAATTATCTCACGGGGAAAGGGAGAAACGGGTTCTGTTAAATAGTAGGAAATGCGAACGATGTTTTCAGCGAGGATTTAAGGAACCAAATTCTAAACACTTAGAAATAAGGTTAACTGGTGATGATGATGGAATAGATTGTATAATTTCGCGTCGGTGGATCTGCAAAGGTGTGGAGTGTAATTTTTTTTCGGAAGAATTTTGTTATGCGAGTGACACAGAAAGTATTCCTTTGACTGCGATTGTCGCTTGGAACTATCTTGTTAATGATCCTGACTTTTCTTTCCGTGCAATCAAAATACCAACTTATAATGTGTGGCTCTATTCAGATGATGAAAAACTAATTCTCTTTAAGACATTAGCTCCTAAACAAGAGCAATCCTGTCTGTCACAGCCAACGGAAGTTTATTCGAGTTCGTTTTCTCCTGACGGCTCTCGACTTGCATCCTGCAACTCAGATGGATATATCAACGTATGGAATGTCTATACCAGCCAAGTCGAACAACGTTTCAAAAGTAGTAATTGCCGGTCAAGGTTTTTATGCTGGTGGTCGGAAGATTTCTTTTTTGTGATTGGGGAATTTAACGGGTTTCTCTTTTCCACGCGATACCCGGTAGATGAGAAATTAAGGATCCTATCTACTCACGGTCAGCACATGGCGCTTTGTCGTTTGGTTTCGAAGTGTGACCGCCCAGTTTCTGGGGTTGGTTTTTCTGAAGGATTTGTCAGCTTGGGTCTCGAAAGGAATGAACCCGTGAAAGTTCTTGATGTCAGAGATGTTGACGGTCTTGTAATGATCAATTTACCTGGAATTGAGCCTGAGATGGAAGTGGAAATCCCGCCTGGTGGTGCCTTTATTTCTGGTTGTAATAAGAATAAATGTTATATTTGGAAAAGGAATACTGAGAAACCAAATTCATATGAAGTCTTTTATCACCGTGACGCTGGAAGGTCTACCAGATTTTCTTATGTCGTAATTTTCAGTAATGATTCCAAAGTCGCAATAGTTATGCATTTGAGTTCTAATGAGAGTCAGATAATTGATCTGGACACTGGTGATTCTCAAAATATAACTCCTGCATTTCAGCCCATTCCTCATTTGAGCCGGTCATTTTGTATTCACAAGAGTAGAATTGTGTTAACTTTATCTGATTACCTGATAGCATTTCATGACATGGACTCTGGCGCGATTCTCAGCACTTCCTATCAACGATACATGGAGACTTTAAGTCCAAGCCAAACAATTCAACTTTCCCCAAAAGAGGACGTGCTGGCTTTTCCTGACAACAAAGGTGATATGGTGTTTCTTCGACTGTCTATTCCACCAAATCCTTAGTTGGACGATATTAAGCGAAGTGCAGTAGCTTCGTTGGACGATTTTGAGCGATAAGTAAACAATTGCAAACATTCGAGAATATTATGATTTTGAGCGAGTTTCAGAAACGATATTGAGCGAGTAGTGAATCTTCTCTTTAACCGGAATAAAGTCGGCTTGCGAAAAAAGGTTTAGACTGCTTTGAGGAAAATCTACACAAAACTGTATATTTTCTTACATGTTGCGTTGCCCCGCAAGTTGTTTATACCAATTAAAAGCGAATATCTTCGTTCTTAAAAATAACTGAAATGAACTCGTTCACACGAGGACGAAAACCAATAGGAGAAGACTTAGTTGATTAAGACTTTGTTATGAACGACAGATTATTGGAGTTGATTTTTCAGTTATAGGATATTTTATAATGGATTTAGTGAACAATAACATGAAAAACTATCATCAAGAACATTGTTTCTGGGCTGCGGCTAGACTTTGCTTGGAGCTGGTCTAGAATGGAGAAGTAAGACACCTCCTTCCCTTCGTTTGTCTGGGAGTTCACCTTGGGCAAGTGATAGCACTCCCTTGCCTGCCTAACTGGGGTTACAGTTTGTTAAACAAAGCAAAGATGATATCTTGAATACATCTGCAAGAAACAAGTCCTAAAAAACTGTGACCAATGCCAGTCGTATGATGGTGTTGTTTAAGATGTTTATTATGGTAGTTACAGTCATGTTGGTGGTGATAATTCTAATCTATGATGGTGGTGATGGTGGTGGTTTCTACGATGGTGCTGATGGTAATTGTGCTGGTTATGAAAATGATGGTAGAAATGGACCTTTTGCATAATGGACCAACATATGATCTAGGCAACAAGAAGGGAACAAATCACCACAGCTAAAAAGAGCATACCGAAATTAGTATAATTGCCACGTTTGGTTGCAAAATGTCAAGGGGTACGGAAAATATGGCCATGCAAAGTAGCCAATTTTGTATACTTTTTTACTACGGCCGGAAGCGTTTAACTAAATATTAGTTACACACTTCCGGCCGTAGTAAACTTCACACGGCTATACTTTCCGAACTTTACAATATCAGCCCAACTTGGTAATTTTACTAAATTTAGTATGAACTTTTCGGAAATTTCCTTTTTGTTGCCTAAATCAAAAGTTGGTCTATTATACAAAAGGTCCATTGTTAGTGAATATATTAGCTGTATTTTGTTCCCGAAGTTTGATGCTGATGAAAAAGAAAGATGACGGAACTCAGTGGCGTCGTGCACTTGAACGATAATTCGGGGGGGGGGGTGGGGGGGGGTTGAATTTTCATATCTTCAATTCTGCCCGACTGATTTCTTTTGTAAGTGCAATAGCTTAGAATAGAAATCCGTCGGGTAGAACTGAATATAGGAATAAAAATCACCTCAATTATCGTTCTAGTCCGGCTCCTAATGGAACTACAAGAACTATGTACATTACAGAGAACGTTCGTTTCTTAGCTGGGAAGGAAGATATTTATAGTCTGAAGCGGAGCTGGAAAATTGTAAAAATTTGACTGAAATGTAAACAATATTATGATCAATAATTTTGATGTTTATCAAAAAGAAGGTCACGAAACAACACAACAATGAATATCTTAGACGTTCTCCCGGTAAAGAGGGCTCAGTTTTCCTGCGGTCTTCGCATAAAAAATTAAAAGCTTTTCGTTTTACGCCTTGCTCTCAATTTTGTGTAAGTTGTCCGCTGACAATATGAGCCTGCACGAGTGGGAGAAATTTAGCTAAGTTGGACCTGCGTGCGTGTTTCAAACGTCGTGTTTTGGTTTTTAATGCGTTCGACACTTGAAAGAAGAACGACGTTTGAAAAAGCCTTAACTGACCCAAAAAAATAATTTTAAGACCTGATTATTCCTAGAAAGGTTTTTGTGGTATTTTTTTGAAGAAAATAATACGCAAACTTTTTAATTCCCAAGCGCTAAGTTCCATTAAATCCCGTTCTTCACTTGCGGAATTTATTCTCGCGAACTGATAAAGAATTAGGAAGTGATCCTACATTTTCGCCGGGAATTTCTTCGCGGACCAATCACATCACAGGTTTTTAAACTCCGGTTCGCGTCGCGCGAATAAATTCCCCGAGTGGAGACCGAGCTGATGTGAATATTTTCTATGAGAATGAAATATCTGTATAAGACATACGAATGGGAGACCTTTGTTTTGTTCACTAATAAAACGTGATGTCTTTAATAAACGAACACGCAACTATATTGATCTGTAAGCAAACTAATATCAAGTGTTGAAATAGGATATTATGATTTAGAAAGTGTCTGGTACACACAAGTACATATCTGTCAGCATTTATTGTAATTTGTATAGATTTGTAATCATTTGTAAACCGTTAACCATTTTATTACATATTTCACTCAGTTGTTGAATTTTCTAATTTTCTATATCTGTGGTTGTTAACGTTCTTATGTAACGCGCAGTCAATGAGTGTAAAAGTTTTCTGGGGGCGAAGGGGCGAAATATCACCTTGGAGGTAATTACACCAAGACCAGGTTACCAGTTTGGCTGAATAAATTACCTGAATCATTATTACCCTCAAGAAAACAGAGGAAACAACAGAAACCAATTAAGTAATATTTCGTGACCGCGAGGTCTTTCTAGGAAATTGCTAAGTGAGGTTTTATGTGGGAGCGGAACCAAATAGTTCCAACTATAGAAATTGATCATTTATAGATGCCGGAGTTGTGGGGGGTTTGGTACACCTTCCCCAGAAAAATTCTTTGTTGAATCTTATTGAATATCGTCACTTCATTATTATTAACCGCTGAATTTATCTCCATGAATGGATTACCATTGTCTTATAACACAGGGTAAATTTGTTTTCTGAAAGACAGAACGTGTAGTTTCTTCTTTCCCTTCGATAAGCCTGGTTTTCATATGTCACCGACAGTCAGCGATGATAGGTGGTGGCCAGTGACGAAATTTATTAAAAATAAGAAAGCCCTTTATTCTACTCCATTCACCAACAATAACCATCGACCTGGCTTATAACCCTGGCGTTCTTATTAACCACCGACAGTCGGCGATGTATTGTTGATAACCAATGATCAAGAAAATTTATGGAAAATAACACAGCACTTTATTCTCCAGTGATCTCTGACAATATCCTTCGCCATTTGTCGATGACTTATGAAAACCAGGCTTCAAGCCTAGTTCACTGGTTCTCGTATGTCACCAATAGTCCGCCATATATTATTGGTGATCATGATCATGCAGTGACTAAAGCCTCGTTTACACGACAACCATTTTTGGCCAGGCACGCTTAATTTTTTGCACGCTGCCAGAAAATGGCACGGCACATAAATTTTGTCTTAAACAGACATAATATAAGTCCACAGACTAGTAATTTTATCGGTGCGGAGACCGTTCAAAAGATGTTCTCGACCTGTCAAAGCATGGAGACCGTGCCGAAAATATTGAGTTGCATCAGCAATTTTGAATCGGATTTGAGCGAAGGTCGGCCTCGAATGTTCTTTCAATTCATCAGCAATTTTTTATTGTTGATCATACGCGGATTAGATAATTACTGCAAAATGGCGGGAAAGAACAGCAGGAAAAACTCTGGTTGAATACGAAAACAAATGGTTTAATAGAAGCCTAGGGTGCTGAAGTCATTCAACAAGTTATAAAATGCAAAAATACCGACACTATGACACGAATAAAAAGATTCGTTTTTTGTTCGAAGGATAAATTTTTTAGAAGGCCTTTATGGCATGATTACTAGATGATCTAACAAGTTGTCTTTATTTCCTTTATTTTGTCAACTAAACCATGTTCATTTGCTTCAATTGATGCATCTCTGCTTTGTTAATCTGCTGACTTATATAGCAACTGCGGTGTGGTTATGGGCATCAAAAACTTTCTATTGGGCGCTTTCTAAAATTCAGTGGTATTCAGGCCTAAAAAAAAAAATATCGCGAAAACAGGCTTAGTTACGGAGCCAATTTCTTTTGGCCTGCCTTGAAAAAGTAATCGTGCCGTACCAAAAATATTTGTTCTATAACTGGAGTTTATAAGTAAATGGAGTTTCTCTGCATGGGTTCTTGCCTTGGTCCGCTAATGATATTCTGTTATTGATTAAAATTCACATGAAGGCTTTTTTGACAAATCCTGTTTTTAATTGGTAACTCCACATTTATGTTTCTGAGGCTTCACAAATAGCTTTGGAACAGCACATTTTGTACATGTGTACATCTGCACGATAGAAAATCTCTGGTAACTTCCATACGAAAAGGATCCTAGCTTTCAATGAGGAACATCTCGCCGACACAAGACAAAATCAGTATTAAGGAATATTAAGAAAGAAAATTAGACTATAAAGGCCCTGTTACACGTTGCAATTTTTCTTCCGACTTGCAAGGCAATTTTACTTTTGAGAGATGTAAATTTGGCAACTACGAAACTTTTATGTTTATTACATTCCATGTACGTTTCTTACACTTACATTTTGAGTACTCTGTACTAACTCACATATATTGAAATTAGGATTGCATTGCAAGTTGCAAGAAAAATTGCAGCGTGTAACATGGCCTTAACACAATTACACTGGTTTTGCAGAGTGGTTTAGAAAACTCCAACTGGCGTAATTTATCACTAATTGATCCAAAGGGTGCGTGAACACAATCGTATTTCGTGATTAAACTTGTGTTTTTAATTCTAATGTAAAGTATGTCAAATAACAACTTATGCAAATTATAGTGTTTTTGACATATCCTGTATGACACCCACACAACGACAATTTTGAATGCATAACTTGAGTTCATTAAATAACCAGCAGGATACCATCAGAGTGTTTGGTGTATTCTTGTTCGCTAGGTTTCTGTACATTTCTTAGCGTCTATTTGGTTTTTTTCTGACTTAAATCTCGCTGAATTATGGCGACGTAGTTGGATTATCGGTTCCAATAATTGATAAAGGTACGTCCTTGTCTCTTTCTTGAAGATTATAAATTATTTTACTTCGTCAACAGCGAGGTATGCTAGACACGGCACAGCGCTGTGGCGTCATGTTAAAACGTTTAGCAAATCCTTCAATAAAATCCAAAATCTTGCTCCTGAATATACTTTCTTCGTTTTGCTATAGCATATCATGTTGATTGTCAATAATTAACCGATTGGCTTCAACAATTTTGTCTTTTATATAACTGTAGTAAAAGTGAATTATAAAGTTAAGGCTGTGAGATTAGGTCATAGCGTGACTTTTATGGTTGAAATTGACACATTTATATTTGTTTTATCTGTCGTAAACTAGCATATCAAGTGGAATTTCATGTCTCAACCATTGCCCTGTTTTATAACCCACTAGTTTCAAATCTGTTTATTCCACCGTCATATTGACTCCTTCCTCAGAGGCTTTCAACCAAGAATTTATAGTCTTTTTATATCACAAGAACAAAGCAATCTCTATTGATATTACCATTCATGTCATCTTATGCATTGTTGGTCTTCAAAACAATGTGATAGATTGTTAGTCAGTTACTAACAATTAAATCGAGATCACACTTAAAAAATAAATTTATAAAGTTTTATAAAAGCGTAAGGTAACTTCACGGCGTTAATAAGGCTTGATTTCCACATGCAGAAAGGTGGTTGCTTACGCTAGCGAAATATTTGCATATTTTCTTTTGAAATAAGAACAGTCAAGTTGAACTAATTTCTTTATTGTGCTAAAATTGAAAAGACAATATGTAAATACTTCGCTAGCAACGGTTAAAAAATGACTGAAAATGTTAAAGTGCTTTGACGAGGCATTAATCTTTAACCCAAGCGTTAGTTTAGTTTTCCAGCTC